ATACCTTACATTAATTTTACTTGTTTTAAAACTGTATATAAATAAAATTATATGCTATATGCTTGGATTCTTTTTAACATTAAGATTATGAGATTTTTGGGCCTCCCCGGTGGCGCAGTGGTTGAGCGCTGGGTTGCGAAGCTGCACGCAGCCTCTGTGGCGCCGGTTCGATCCCTGGCTGCTCCCGGCCACTGGAGGAGGGTCCCACATGGCGCGCAGACCTCTCCTGCCGCCCGCTGCTCCCCTCAGCAGTGTACTTCGGTCCTTCTGCCTGCTCTGCTTCCCCCTCTGGTGAATTCTCTCACCCTCCCGCGCTTCTGACTGTACCCAGTGCATGTATAAACAAACAAACAAACAAACAAGCAAACAAATAAATAAATAAGCATGCCTCTATTAAAAAAAAAAAAAAAAAAAAGATTATGAGATTTTTTTCATTTTGTTGTCTGTAGCAATAGCAGTTTACTCATTTTTATTGTTACGTAGTATTCCATTGTATAAATATAAGTTATTTATTCGTTTTGTTTTTGGTGGGACTCTAATTTCCAGTTATGAAGTAGTATGAATAGTATAGCTATGAAAATTTTAATATATGTCTTCTGGTACAAATAAGTATGCATTTCTGAGCAATGCATAATGTACTGAGAATGGAATTGCTGGATAACAAAGTCTATATGTGTTCAACTTTAGTAGATATTATCTAGCAAGGTTTTCAAAATGATTGTGTGAATTTATATTCCCACCATTTGTTTTTATGAGAGTTCCTGTTGTTCTATATCATCTCTAAAAACATGGTATTTTCTGACTTTAATTTTAATTTTCTGATAATTTGTAGTGGTATCATTTCTCTCTTGCGATTGTTTTCTTTCTCCCTCTACTCCCTCACTTCTTTTGTAAATATGAAAAATATTTCTGATTTTCAATTATATTTTTATCTCAAGTGTTTACTTAATATTACATACTGTAGCATAATTTATATATTGTTAATAGCACTTATGCACACAGTTTACTGTTTGTTCCCAAACCCATATATTGCATTTGTAAATTTATGTATGGACAATTTTGGTTGTTCCTTTTGACTCATAAAAAATGAGACTTTAATCTCCTTGTGTAATTCATACTTTGAAAGTTAAAGAATTCTATTTGAATAGCAAGTCTCTGAGTACTTGGATTTGAACAGTAAACATTTTGTGAAACACTCTATCTCTGGTATACTTTTTGATAAAGGGTTTGTTATAGCATCCAGTTAGTATTATGAAAACAATTATTAAAAGTTCAGAGTAAAAATTTTACTGATTTTCTTCCCTCTTCCTCCCATTCCCCTTCTACCCCCAGGAGAAATATATATCATTTAGAGAAAAATTTAGTCATGAAACAATCATGGAAAAGTAAACATTGTAAATGTACTATATACAAATGTAAAGAAAGTTTTTCATAATGCTTAAGTGCTTAAGGGAATCTACAGGATAATACAAACAGTACTAAAATGGAAGTATATAGCAATACAGGCCCACATTGAGAAATAACAAAGAGCTCAAGTTTAACCTTACACCTCAGGAGCATCTAACAAAGGGCTAATGTCTAAGGTCTACAAAGAACTCATACAACACAACCACCACCAAAACAAACAAACAAAAAAAATCAAAAAATGAGCAGAATAGCTAAATAGAAACTTTACCAAAGAAGACATACAAATAATCAAGAAGCCCATGAAAAAATGCTCATCATTTCTTATAACACAATCCAGCAATTTTACTTCTTGGTATCTACATGAACAGTGAAAAACACCCATTTGAATGGAATACGTGTGTATTCTTGTATTCCTTGCAGCACTATTTACAATAACCATGTTATAGGAGCAACCTAAGTGCCCGAGGACAGATGAGTAAATTAAGAAGCTATGGTTTACACACACAATGGAATGCAACTCAGCTGTATAAAGAAAAGATACTCTTGCTATTTATGACAACTTGGATGGATCAGAAGGCGATTATGCTAAGTGGACTAAGTCAGAAGGAGAAAGACAAATACCTGATGGTTTCACACATGTGTAACATAGGGAAATAAAACAAAAAGACCAACAAAACCAAAGCAAATCATACCCCAGATATCTGGTTGTAGAATTCAGGCTGGGATCAGGAGTGGGGAGGAGGCCCAATGAACCATGGTAGAACACTATGGTACCTTGGTGGTGGGTGTGATATGGTAACACACATCTGAAGAGGTGTAAATGTATACCTCTGAATCATACATAATGTTTTCAACTGGTGTTACTTCAGTAAAGATAATATTTAAAAATTTAGTATATTCTTGAAAGTTAAAAGAGAGTCGGCTTTAAATGTTATCACTTCCCTCCCTACCCCCCACATACACAGTAATTATGTGAGTGCATAGAGTTGCTAACCTTATTGTAATCATCATTTTGCAATATATACATACATCAGGTGATCATATTGTACACCTTCAATATTACGTATGTTTCATGTCTATAGTATCTCAGTAAAACTGGGGGAAAAGGCAGGAGAGAAAGTTTCTTCCCCTACATTGTAATATTTTAAAAGGCAAAAAATTAATATTAATCTTTCAGTGAACTACCAGATGAATTGATTCTGATAAGTCTTAGGTTCTTTTGTTTGTGTCTTTTAACCGAATACACAATACTTTTGGCATAGTGATGGTGTATAGCACCTCAGCTTTGCCATTTCCCCAGGGGACAGGCTGAAATTGGAACAGTTTCAAATAATGATTTTTATACTCCTAAGGAATAAGTACATTTATTGGAGAAATTTAAGTTGACAGGAAAAATACTGACAGTTAACCCATGCCCTAATTCAAGAGCAGATGGAAATGTCTTGCATGAATTGCAATTCATTAAGCAAATGTGACACTTTATTTTCTAGTCATTTTAGTTCAGGGGGCTGAAGTGATGAAATAGTAATGAATCCACTTCTCAGCATGCTGAAAGTAAAGTATGGAAAACAAATGCTAGAAAGGATTTTTAGGATTTGTGTTACCATTTTCTGATATTTGTCAAATTTGGTTTTAAAACTTAATTGTTACCACATTATCTCAAACTATAAGAAAGTTCACAGTTTTCTGAGTTCATAATGAGGTGGGTAACCAAGCTCTGTAGTTATAACTTAATAGTGTACTTTGTAACTTTCCTAACATTTACTAATAATAAGCTGCTTATTTTTTCATATGAACTGAATTTACAATTAAGAACATTACTGTTTTCTATAGAAAGGCATGTTTTTCAGGCTTGTAATGTGAAGGGTTGCTAGTGATCCCTGGGTATGTTTGTGATAATTTATCTTGGGTTATTTAAAATTTGTCATTTTTGAAGGTAAAAATTCTATTTCAATTTTGAAATATAAAGGAGATGTTAATTAATACGTGATGCATGTTTCAACCCATTTTAGACCTCAAAATTCATATTCATTTATATTTCATTCCAGTAGCATACCGTTTCTATAAAACTTATGTTCTCAACATTGCCATTTAGTTTTGGCAAATTAAGTAGCTTTGAATTTGTAGTATTTTACACCCTAGATACGGATTCCTTAATCTGTTTCATTATACAATACTTCACTAATTTTCTGTGAAAGGAAAGTGCCAAATTCTGTGGTTGATATATGTCGTTCACTTCAAAATAATAGCAGCGATACCTCTAAAAAAGCAATATGTCATATTGACAATTTTGTTTATTCGTTTAGAATTTATGTGTCATTTACAATCTTAAAAAAAGGCTATTATCACACACGGACATAGGTGACTTTAAAAACAACATGAAATAACATGACCAGGATGTTTAAAGAACAATCTGACCCCCATTTCAGTTAACCCCTTCAAAGCACAGTTCATTGTGATTAGCATTACTTTGCATAATCTGATGTACTGCCTTTTAGAAGCTTTGATTTTGATTTTTTACGTGATGTTATTTGAATTATCCATATAGCCATATACAACTTTATTCTGTAATGTAAAATTGTTATAATCTTTTTTCTCTGCCACAGTATGCTTTAAGAGAATACAAACCAGTATGTTAAAAGCAAAAACTTGATTAATAATCCCAAATTTATGTCAAATGGTCAACTTAAGTGAAGTTCACTAAATTTTGTAGGCCTACCTCCTAACTCAGTTTGGGTTGCTATTATGTACCAGTTATGCTTTATTGTATGTATTAGTTTTGAGTATAAAGTACTGCATTGGGCCTCCCCTGGTGGCGCAGGCAGTTGAGCGCCGCACTGTGAAGCTGTCCGCAGCCCCTGCAGCACCGGTTCGATCCCAGCCAGCCGGCGAGCATCCCACATGGCACAGCAGACCTCTCCTATCTCGCCCGCTACTCTTCTCAGCAGTGTATTTCATCAGTCTGCCTGTTCCCTGTTCTGTTCCCTGCTCTGTCTGTGGTGAATCCTCTCACGCCCCCCCCCACCCCGCAACTCTGACCTGTACCCCAGCTCTTGTATGCATAAATAAATAAATCTTTAAAAATAAATAAATAAATAAAGTACTACATCTACTAAAATTAAATTAAATTTAAAGGGTAGTTTAAAAAAAATATGTATCAATTGTAAAGTCTCCTCCAAATGTAGATAGACATAACACAAATGGCTTGCTTTATTTTCATATCTTTTCAACACTTGTTTCACTTCTGTGTCCCTTGTCAAAAAAAGGGCTATTGTCAGTGTATGTAGTTTATAAGATGTCTTTTTTTTATATCATAAGATTTTTTTTATTTTTTTTTATTTTTGTGCACTTCACACAACTTACTGACAGATTACCTTCACTCATTTTTAAATAATTCCTTAATATCACAATTTTTTTAAAAAAGATCCTCTTCAAAAGACCATTATCTGTAGTCAATTAGATATAATTCTGGGAAATTTTTAACATCATTTATTTGAGCTATATTGAACTGTTCAGTTGTATTTCTTTTTTGAATGACATGGTTGAAATTTAAATTCTGTATGTGACTTTTTATATTCCTTTATGTCTTACAGATGCTTGTGACTACACCAGAAAAATGGGATGTAGTGACAAGAAAGAGTGTTGGGGATGTAGCTCTTTCTCAAATTGTCAAGCTCCTTATTCTTGATGAAGTTCATTTACTGCATGAAGATAGAGGACCAGTATTAGAAAGTATAGTGGCACGGACTCTGCGACAGGTAAGAGAAAGTTATTTATATGCTTATTTTGGAGGGATGAGTAAGTTTTTAAATTTGAGTGTAGCATTCAAAAAATATTAATACACATTGTTCATGGGGATAAAGATAATTTCAGTATGGAGAAATCCTTAGCTATTTTATTTACGTGTTTAAAGTGCCCTTTCTTCCTTCCAAGTCTTATTTTATCTCTTTAAATTAACCAAAATCAGTATGGGAAAACTTTTAAACCTGTGTTGCAAAGCTAAACCTCATATTGACTAGGCATTGTTAGAATATAGTACATAGGAGACTTCTAGTGACTTATTTTACTTCTCTCTAGATTCAATGTCGTCCTGTGAAAAAAGTTTGAAATTTTTAAATATTTTTCTAAGACTCTACATAAAATAGAATTTAATTGCCTGATATGCATAATCTTAATCATTATTTTAAAAATGAGTTATGTATGTGTTGTTTCTAGTTTTCAACGCTTGCAGTTATTCATAAATAGCCCACACCAAAAATTTTAAACTCACCAATGTTTCATGATGTTCTGTCAGCCTCTGTTTTCATTAAGGGGCAAAGTAAATATCTTTTAGTACATTTGCCAGGAGTCCCATCATTAAGATGTTTACAAGAGTTTTGACCAATTCCTTTTTCTTTACAGAACATGCCTAGTTGAGGGAAAAACTAGATTGCTAATATTTTCGGTATATATATCAGCATGTACACATACAACATTGTGTATCATTTATTTTGAAGCAATTATTATAAATTCATAAAGAATTTCTAAATTACATATACATTTATACAATTGTAATTTTTCATATACAATTCATAATTATTAAAAACTAGAAAAATCAATATATAAACTAAATGTATAGAAATTATGAGTTATAAGTTTGGTTAAGTATGTAATATTTGGGGTATATATGCTAAGACCTCGATGGATATCCAAAATAACTGAACCTTATATATTTATAATTTTTGTGTACATTAATAATGTTTCATTTATAAATAAATCACAATAAGTCACAACTAATTAAAAAACAGAATAATTGTAACTATTCTGTAATAGCAGTTAAGTGAATGTCATACATCCTCCTCTCCTTCCCTTAAAATATTCTACTATACTTAACATTTCAGGCTATGGTTGACCACAAGTAACTAAAATCATGGAAAACAAACTGCAGATAAGGATGCCTACTCTAATATATATCTTAATGTATGATATAGAAATATATAATGTGAATATATAATGTGCAACATAGATATATAAGTGTATTATATGTTCTTCCTACACTTAGTACCTCCTTAATAGAATCAAATTCCCATTCTATTGTTTACCACTACTATGCTCATAACCTTTGATGACTTGCTATTTGTTATCTTAAGAAAAATGTTCAAATTCCTTAGATGGACAATAAAGACTATTAAAGCCCTGACATATCTAATTTTAATTTCTATATATTCCTTGACTCCACAAATTATTTGTTCTCTCCCTACCTCCTTTCTAATACAATTGAGTCTTTTTTAGAGATGAAACTAATCTCACTAAAGACAGAATGTATTGGTGATTATGAGATGAAAGGTTATACATGCAAGATTACATCTATCACTCCTCACACTCATCTGCTGAGAAGCTACTGTTCTTTTGAGTCTTTCAACTGTTACTTCTTCTGTGAAGTATTTCCTGGTTCACTACCCAGAATGAATTTCATCTTATTGTGTACAACCTTTTTGTTGTGCATTTTTAGTACTTACCATAGTTTTACTTATAATTGCAAAACATGCTATAAATAATATCTTAATTTTTATTCTTCACTATATTTCAGTCTGACAGAAGGAGTGAAATAAACATATACCCTGCAAACACCAGAGGTATTTTTCTGCTAAAAATCCATTTTTAACAAGAGTATATAATTCATGAATATATTTCATGAATATATTTATTCATGAAAAGAATCTGTGATTGTTTTCATGCTTCCAGAGAACTATCACAACTCTTCTCTTTTTATTTTATTCTTGTGATTACCAGCTGTTCCCAGAAGATGGCAATGTTTTACATAGCATGTCAACATTTGTAACTAACATAAAGCACCTTAGGAAGCTGTTCTAATCCAGTGTGTAGATTTTGTTTAGATTCAGAAATTGCATGGTGACATTAGGGACTAAATTCGCAACACACTAGGCATGGTTGAGAGAAATTTGGAAAAGAAATAGGCTAAATATGTTGCTAACAATATTAATAATGATGTTAATAATAATAATGATGATATTAGTTGTATTCTTAACTGATTTTGCTTTCAGTGAGTAGGAAGAAAGTATTCAAACCTAGATAATATGTGAGAGGAAATGTTATAAAAATCCACTGCCTAGTTTTTGGTCTAATGATAAAGAAGAAGCTGTCAAGTATTCAGTTTTATATGAATATGTATAGCGTATAGAGAGCTTTGAGATTTGGCTTCGGGTATAAAGTATCAAATTACCTCTATTTACAAGAAACTATTTCTCATATAGGCTTATCTATATTGAGAATGTTATGATTACATTTTTTTAAAAAATATATACTCTTGTTAAAAATGGATTTTTAGCAGAAATATACCTCTGATGTTTGCAGGGTGTCATGTTTTTAATATCAAAAGACCTTAAAAATTGATTGACTATCTTGTTGGAAATGATTTTAAAGTAAAAAAATCACTTTTATTCCATTTCAGGTCAGTACCATACAACATAGAATTTTTCTAACTATTCATAGAACTACAATTAAAATTATAGTAATCACTATAAATGAAGTTTCTTAAATATTGGTCATCATTTTCTCTTATTTAAAGTTCCCTTGTTTGGTCAGGTTTTGTTGGGATTTTGTTAACATCCCTAAGATTTTTTTAGTGAAAGCAAATTTATGGTAAAATGCCGTATATGTATTTTATCCTCATTTATGTTTCTGTAGATAGGTTCAGTGTGTATGAATCTGTGTTTTATTCAATATGTTATCTCCATCGCCTAAAGGTTGGGTCCTAAGATAGTGTTGATGGATGGGTGATTCTGGAAATATATTACTCACATTGGATTACTTTGTTTATAACTTGAGTCTTCTAGACTAAGCAAATTTTACTGAGCTGCTTCAGAAACCATATGAAGTTATTGATATAAGTATCAAGAGAACATTGTGATATCTTTCGATTGTGAAGTGAATAGAAGACTTTGGTTTTTTTTTTTTTTTAATTTTATTTACTTGTTTTTTTATTTTTGCAGAGAATAACTGGGGTATAGGACAGAGGTGCAGAGAATGGGAGTGGGTTGAGAGGATTCACCAGAGACAGAGTGGGGAACAGAACAGGTAGACTGAACAAAATACACTACTGAGGGGAGCAGCGGGTGAAACAGGAGAGGTTGGCTGTGTCATATGTGGCTTAGCTCCCTGGCCAGGCATTGAACTCAGGCTGTAGCAGTGCTAGCACTGAGACTTAATCCTGAGGCCACCAGAAAGGCCCAGGTTTTGGCCTTTCCTTGGTTTTATCTTACAGGTCTATTATAATTAGAGAACAACATAGTCCATGTTATTTTTACTTTTTGGAATTTATTTAGGTTTTTGCGACCTAATAACACATTTACTTGTTACAAAGTTCTTTTAGCCAGTTAATATTAATTCCTATGTGTATTTTCAAACTTATAGGTACAGATTTCTGTTACCCATCTAGTATATCAAGCCTGTGAGTTGTAACTTACAAGGTCTTACCTGATAGAACTCTGAATTGACCTCTAAACTTCTCTGTCCTCTTCCCTCTATTCATCTTCTTTTTTGCCCAGGTTATTGCAATTTCATATCCTTTGTGCCTTTTTTTCTCTTTGAAGGTTTTTATCCTTTACTCATCTTTTAAATGTTCTTTCTTTAGACAGACTGCGATCACTATATTATCTAAAGTGGAGTCCCTCTTTAAATTACCCTTTATGTTATTACCGTATTTACTTGACTGGTGGCACTTATTGGTATTGACTACTGAAATTACCTGATTTATTCATTTTTGAATTTTTAGTTGTCTCTTTCTCCACTAAAATGTCAACTCCACTAAAATGTTAATATCATTAAGATAATTTAATAGTCTGGAAAACTTTCCCTTTGTGATGATGGAATAGTTGTGTTTTGGTTCTCAAGAATTCATCTATAAAGGAATATACTCAGCTATGTTATTGTACGGTAAACATAATACTGCGCCATAGGTAGAGGAAGCATTCTATAGTAATGGAAGCAAAATGCTGATTTTATAAATGGGTCCTCAAAATTAACAAAAAATTTTAAAACATGGAAATAATTTTTCATTATACGTACATATATATATATAGTTTAAAATATTTAAGTATCATGCAGTCCTATCATTTTAAAATTTAAACTTGTAGAACACTAAAGGCATCCACCTCAATTATTTTAGACTTTTGTGTTTTTGTATTTGAAATTATTGAATTTAAAAATAAACATTTTTAATTATTAAAATTACAAACTGGTAAAACAAACTAAAACTTAATTCATGTTACCTTGTTAAATTTTTAGGAGAAAAAAACATTTAATATGATTTTCTAGTTCATGATATCTACTAAATTACATTTCAAAATATATTATCCAGATTCCAGGTTTATACCAGTTTTCTCCCCAAGTTATCTGCCTTTTAGACTTATATTACTGTTCTATATTTCCTGGTAGGGGGGTCTTTTCTTGCTTACTTACAATTCACTGTGGTTGAATCTATTTGATATATTAATAAAAATAATCCATCTCATGTAGGTTGAATCCACTCAGAGTATGATAAGGATTCTTGGACTCTCTGCCACCTTACCCAATTATCTGGACGTTGCTACATTTCTACATGTTAATCCCTATATTGGACTTTTCTTCTTTGATGGCCGCTTTCGACCAGTTCCCCTTGGACAGACATTTTTGGGAGTTAAAAGTGCAAATAAGGTAAATATTTGTTTTAATAATTATACCTTTCTAAAAATGTGTTTATTGAAGTATTGTTGAATAGTTTGGGATTAAAAACTCCAAAAGACCATATCAATAGTACTTCAAATATAAACATCTAAAACATCTAGACAAAATCAGACAAACTCCCTTAACTCTGTGTGGGAGAGTGACTCCTTCCAAAAAGTTAGGTGTCTTGATTTGCTATTCTTAACATGTATTTTATATTTTCGGCTCTTAAAAGTTTCAAAAGGTATTTTCATGTGATTAAAGGTATGTATGAAATAATAAAAGATCTCTTTAACCTAGTAATAGATATTTTCATATAATATTATTTAAAATTAGTATTACCTTATATGCAGTTATACCTTAGCAATAATATGGTAATAAACATGCAGTGTTGTAAACCAATGTTATCTCAATAAAAATAACTAAATTAATGAGTATTTTAATAAAAAATGATTTTATAGTAGCAATCATTAAGAGATACACTCTATTAACTTATAACCTTTCATAATTACCATATTAAATATATATATATATATAGCATCTCTAAGATTCTTTATAGTGTCATAAAATGTTTGTCCAGTTTCTTAAATAATATTACCATGGGCCATTTCACTATTAGTATGCTTATTTTAAATATTTATTTCATTTTATGAAGGAATACTTCCTTAAAATGTATACATTTATGGTGCGGCAGACCTCTCTTATCTCGCCCACTGCCCCCCTTCAGGAGTATATTTTGTCAGTCTGCCTGTTCTGCTCCCCACTCTGTCTCTGGTAAAAAGGCTCACCCTCCCGCACATCTGGCCTATACCCTGGTTCTTGTATAAATAAAATAAAATCTTAAAAAAAAAAGCATACATTTATTATTCTGTTTAATGATACATTGTTCTGTGTAAGAAATGGTTTTAGGAAAAGATTCACAGTCCATTTTATTTCTTTGCTAAAACAAGATAGAAATCATTTGTTAATATGTAAAATGATTTCGTTACTTCTTGTCTAGAAACAAGAAGTAAAATTGTACTTAATAGTAAAAATAGTACTTAATAGTACTTTAATAGTAAAATAAGGACATTTTTACCTGATATTGCTGTAAATAAAATATATCAGAAGTGACTGTCACTGTGACAGTTGCCATGCTCCATCTGCAATTAGATAAAGGAGAATTTTCAGATTTATGCACAAAAGTATAGTTCATGAAATGGTAATAGTTAAAATATGCATATGTTAACCTTCATTTGTTATTTCAAGCTTTTCATTATTGATGCTTATTTTTTCAGCCATATTTATATAATTTGGTTATTGAGTTTATCTTAATGTATCATTAGGACAGATGTACAGCTATTTATTTATAGCTTCAGATTTGTTCTTTTAATCTTTTAAACAATGTTTCAGATTGTGTCAATTTTAACAGATGGTTGTCACCAAAAGATATAAAGAGAAGAAAATTTTCATATTCTTGTCAGCCATCTTAAACATGTTTTTCTTTTAATATCATCATACAAATGAATAAATCATATAAAGCTAATGAAATTCAAAATACCTTTTCACTGACTAAGTCAACATTACAATGATAAAACAAATGGTGTTAGATAAACTGTCATTTTGAAGGTTTAGAAATTTGGCAAAATTTTAAAAGTTTTCAAATTTTAAAAGTTTCATATTTTTATCTTATTAAAATGCATTATTTTTACACTCAGCTCATATGTACAGTTGGTAACTATAAAGTATTTCCCCAGAGTGTCATTTCATATATTTTCTAACCACTTTTTAATTTGTCATTTCGTATAAATAGAAATCCTTCTAAGTTTCTCATTTTCATTCAGAAACTCATGTGTTCAACTGTCATGGAAGAACATGGGTGCATGACTCATCTTCTTTAAAATAATGACTGTGGTCACAATCCAAAATGTACTGAAAAAGTTATTTGGAATTTTTGGGGGGAAGTTGTTTTTTGAATCATTAATCAGGAGTAATGTGATTTTCTTATCTTAGTTACTATAAGTATCATGTATCTGATATCTTAGATATCACACTATAAATACCATATATCTGAAGAGGTGTATGATCTAGTACCCCTAAATCATACCCAGTTTTGTAAATCTGTGTTATCTTACAAATTTTATCTGTACAAATTTTTTAAAAGTTACATATTTTTAAAGTATTTACCTTATTAGAGCAAAAAATCATAGTAACTAATTATAATTCAGTGTTAAAGCATAGTAATTTTAGAGGTACATAAAGTTTTCATCCCCTCCAAGTTCCTAATAAAGCTAAAGAAACAGACTGGGTCATTTGCCTACTCCTTTGGGTTAACCTAAATCTTCCCTTTTTTGGTTTGAAGCTTTCTCATCATTAGCAGGGGGAAATGAGACTGTTAATTAAATAAATTTTGGTTAATTTGAAGAATATTTCTGTATAAGAATGCTACATTCTATATAGACATGATAGAAATAGTATGTTTTCTTTGATTTCAACTTTATTTGCCATTACATTTTACAAATAGCATTTTGTTGACTTTGAGAATTACATGGGAAGACTTGATTGATAACTTATAGAATGGAAATAGAAAACCAAAGTCTGAAAAGTGGCCTTCTTTGGGGGAAAACAGATATTATATAATAACTTAAAAACTTAAAAACTATTCTAGAATATCTATAACTATAATAGCATATTGTCTTTAAAGTTACTGTCTTTTATTATTTTTTTTAAGATTTATTTTCTTTATATAAGAGCTGGGGTACAGGCCAGAGGTGTGGGAGTGTGAGAGAATTCACCAGAGACAGAGTGGGGAGCAGAACAGGCAGAGAGACCAAAAGCATTGCTTGAGGGGAGCAGTGGGCGAGGCAGGAGAGGTCTGCCCTGCCATGTGGGTATCTTCCCTGCCGGCCAGGAATCAAACCCATGCTGCGGACAGCTTCAGCGCTGTGCTCAACCTGCTGTGCCACCAGGGAGGCCCTGTTTTTAGTTACTGTCTTTTAAAAAACACTTGGCACTCTAAGGAAGTAATCTGAAAGTACTGTATGAGGCACTTCATTTTTATTTTTCCATTACATTGTATTTATTTCTTACTGGGCTGGTATATGTTAGATATTTATGTTTCTTTTTCCCCCTGCATTCCAGCTAGTCTGGACGTTTAAAAAATATGCATTGTAATTGGCACAGCTTTATTTGAAGTTAGAAAAATGTATATTGCTTCATTTCATATTTTTCACTTTCTAAAACTTTTAAGGTGCAACAATTAAATAACATGGATGAAGTATGCTATGAAAGTGTTTTGAAGCAAGTAAAGGCTGGACACCAGGTATACTTTATTGTTTTATCCTATTTTTAGAGACTGGTTAATGAGTATAATCATTAATATTAGGAAAATTTTTTCTCAGAAAAATTCTGAGACAATGACTTGGGTTTTATTAAATTTAGTTAGCACAATGAATAACTATTAAATTTAGTTAGCACAAATGAATAACAATGAATATTCAGATAATTTTATCATTCTGATATTGATAGGTCATTCTATTTTGATCATGTCAGTTTTATGGGTAAGAGAATGATTTCATGTTACATGTTTGTTTCTATTAACCTTTTTTAAAAGCACCAATCTTCTGTCATACCCCAAAGATTTCACTTTGTATTTTTCTTACATGGTGTAAAATTATAAATGTTACAATGTTCTTCCTATTTTCATGAAGTGATATCAATTGAAATATGAATAGTAAAAATTTCCATTGTTTTATGGTGTTTGGAAATTAAGTAGTTTTACTTGTAAACACCATTGTTCACCATGCTCCAACCAAGATTGTTAAAGTGGAATAATAATTGACTATATAGAACTTAACCATTGGCCAATTGTATATGATTCTTTGGATCACTTTGCTCTGAGATTTTTTTCTACTTTGTTAGCCTTTTCTGACATGTAAAATTAAATATTTTCTGCCCCTTTGGTTTTTAAATTTCTTTTAAGAGCAATGGAATATTTTTTTTCAGACCAAATCTTGTTTGGAGTCAGTAAATAAAGTAAATCAAAGATGAATTGAATATCAATGTGGAACATTGAGCATCCTTGAAACAATTTGCTCCTTTTTAAAGAAACAGTTTCTGCTCTCTGAAGTGAATGTACAGAGTTTTAAGATTTACATTTCAAAAAACAAATCATTATTTTAAGTTATATGGTAACTGGTTTCTTTGCTAGTGATTAGTGAATGCTTGAACTAGCTAAAATTATATTATTTTCTCACTTTATTGTGAGGCAAGTAGTGTTATCTTCATTTGACAGATGAAGAAAATAAGGTTCTGTGCAAAATCAAGTAACATGTTCTGGTCAGTTTATTTAAAAAAAAAATCCAGGTCATGTGAGTGTAGAATCTCCTCTAACCATAGTGTTCTAGCATTTTATTTGCATTTATTTTACATTAAGTGTTCTCCTTTTATCCTCATTAGAAAACTGTTTTGTGAGTGGCATTATTTATCATGTTCCAATAAAGAAATGTAAAAGACCAATATTTTTCTTACATCAAAAATATTGCTAGGTACCAACTACAGTAAGTCCTTATTAATATTCAGTAGGTTCTTGGAAACTGCAACTTTAAACAAAGCAATATGCAATGAAACTAGGTTCTCAAGTAATTTCATTTTTTTAATGGCAGCTGGGATTTCTTTTTTCTTGTCAACTTTTTAATGAAATGACTTAAAAGACTTTGAATGAGATGATGTTATTCAAGGATCTACTATAATTTTTCTTGGTCAGGAGCTGGGACCCTTTTTCTGTAAAGATCCAACTAGTAAATATTTTAGGCTTTAAGTTGTCTTTTCAGCATAACAATTAGGTATCCATTTGTTCATATGGGCATGTCTACATGGAATAAATAAAATGTTACAAAAACAGGCCAAAGCTACATTTGGCTTTCAGGCAATTGTTTGCCAATCTATGTTCTACATTGCTTCCTGAGATTTATTTACAGTTAATGTCTGTTGATCCTAAAATACTAACTAGAGAGGCCTTCTAAAGCATTTCAGAGAAAATCCTAAAAGAAATGCTAATGTTCTGGTTAGCCACAAGTGTTTGTACACTAGATCTTCAAATGATATCATTTTGTTCTATGTTATTTCAAAAAACACTGATGAGAAAAACAAAACCATTTCCTACCTAATTCACTGTGTGGAGTTGCATATTCTCCCCATGTCTCTGAGGGTTTTCTGCAGGTAGTCTGGTTTTTTCCAAAGATGTGAACATTAGGTGCCAATGGGCATGTCTTCATCATCCCAATCTGAGTGAGTGTGGGTGTGTGTAAGTGCTCCCTGGAAGGGCATCCTGTGCAGTGTTGGTTCCTTCCTCTACCCTGCCCTGTCCTGATGGGCTCTGATCACTTGAGGCTTTGAACTGGAATAACAAAGTGGGAATGAGTGAATTCAAATTATTGTTTAATATTAGAAGTGTTTTGTATATTGATTTACAAGTTTGGTGATTTTTTTATGTGAAATAGTGCATAGGAATTTAACCCTGTTTATTCATTTAACATATGGTTATTCTAATAAGTGTGTGATGGTATCTCAAACTTCAAACATACAATATAGTATTACTAATATAGTCACTATGGTTTCCATTACATTCCCAGGATATGATCATTTTGTAACTGGAAATTTGTCCTCTTGACCACCTTTACCCATTTCACCAACCTCTATACCAACCTCTTGCCACCAGCAACCACTTATCTTTTTATTATCCTTCTGGTTTGGGGTTTGTTCTTGTTTGTTTGTTTTTTAAGATTTCACATACAAGTAAAGTATATGATATTTATCTTTCTCTGATTTACTTCACTCAGTGCTGTCAAGGTTCATCCATTTTGTAACAAGTAACAAGATTTCCCTTTTTATGGCTGGCTAATATTCCATTGTATATTGAAATGTAGAATCCATACACTACATTCTTTATCTGTTGTTTTTTTTTTTTTTTTTTTTTCAGTTTTTAAATGATGGAATTTAAGTTGTAAATACTATACTGTGGAACATATAAAAAGATGTTTTATACTTTCGCTGTAATCAGGAAAGTAATTATCACTCCTTTTGTAACTGAACAACTTTAAAGTGTTATGAAAAATCTTTAAGCCTCTGGTAGGAATGCTTTTGTTGCTCCTAGAATTAAAGAAATTAATCTTTATTCTTCCATCACCGTTTGCATTTAATGACCAGATAAGTAGGTACTTTGCTACTTTACTGTGGATATAGGATTGTTTTTCAACAGACTAAATCACCTTTTTACATTAAAAAACAATTTTTTGTGAAGTCTTAGTGAAACTGAAAATTTTCATATATCCATGTATTAATATACACATGATCAGTGTTTGCAATTTTCTTTTATTAAAGATCATGCTGTTCTAGTGATCATCTTCCTGCAATTATTTTTTTCTGTTGAAACATTTACTTAGGATAAATTCTGTAAAATAGAGTTAGGACACAAAAGACCACATTGTCTTATGATACATTCTGAATGGCTTATAACATTTCAGTGTCATAACAGACTTACATGGGATTTATAAACATATGCAATGTTCTTCTGAGTAGTTTTAACAATGTAGTGTGATATAAAGTTATAATTTGATGCATTTGCCATTTTGTTTTATAATCTTGTGGCATATAAGACAGAGTGGTGACATATGCATGAAAACATGTTTTTGGTACCATATTGTTTATGCTTTGCTTTCGATATGTATTTACTTTAAATTAGAAAACCATGTCCTTTCCTTTGCTTTTGCTTCATGCTATGACCTTATGGTTTTTGGCCTCTGTAGCTATATTTTTAAAATGTAGTTTAAATATGATTACTATAAAAGAAAAAGAGTAGGGAAAAGCTCAAACAAATTTAACTCTTGGGCATACCAAAAAGCAAAAATGAGAGGGAAGAAAACACTGCTAATTTTACCACCCAGAAGTAATTTCTATTGATAAATATCCTTTCATTTTTAAGTGAATTTTATTCACTTAATTTCCTATCTTTTTTCTCACTTATTCCTGTAGTTTTGTAATATATTTTCTCTATCCATAAATATGACAGAAACATAAATAGAAACAGTAATATTAAAATGTAAAGAAACATTTAGATTAAAGATGTCATATTAAAGCTAGTCAGTGTATTCTTAGCATTGCTGTGCTTTTTTGTGTGTTCCATTAGAATAGGGCATACTACATAATGTTGGATTATAAGGAAATGCTGTTGATTAAGTTTCTGTATAGTGTCATACACATGGGGACTCTGTGGTAAATATAATTTGATTGTGATGAATCACCTTATCTTCAAAGATTTAGCATCCTAAGTGAGATGGGGATAAAGGGAGAAATTAAATGCATCAGGACTTTGGTACCATAGTTGATATTTGCCTCTAGTGTTGATGGTCTCACAAATGTATTTGCCAGCACCTGCAGATGAGGAATACTGAGTCGTCAAGCCAATGCCTTAATTTTTCACATTAATATAATCACAAGTTAAGAGGTTTTGGTAACATAATTTGAGAGCAAATTTCTTTTTTTTTTCCTTCATTTCTTTAAGTTACCTCTGTTATGTGTGTAACTTAGGCAAAAGCTGACTCTAACTAAAATCTTTTTCCATTTCACTCATTTCAAAGAGATCATTTTGTCTATAAATCTTCTATTTGCAAGTTGCTCTGCCAAGTACTATTTGGCCTGTAAGTTCATTTAGCTTGATAAGTGGCAGCTTCTGCTGATTACCTTTGTAATATGTCCAGAACTGAAACTGGATTGCAGATACTAGGAAAAGAGGACTATTACACATTTTAATTTTGGGAGCTAACATAGGCACCCATTTCCCAAAACCAGCAATCCTTGATTTAATTAATTACCCAACAATTGCACTACACAATGGTCTCTGATTACTAGGCTAATGTGGAAGTTCATTTAGAACCCCGCCCTAGATTATTTTTCCCTTTTTTGTCTCCTTGAAGGAATACATTTACTAAGCTGTGGTGTCAGGTCTTCTGCTTTTATTAGAAGGTTAACAGAGAACTTTTCAGTAGAATAGTCACTGAGTTGTGTTTTTTTCCCCTGTAATTGAGGTGGTATAGAATGTTGTCTCAGTCACTGCCTGAAATGTTCCAAGTGATACATTTTAGCAACTGAATTTATAAGTATCCACCTATCAAAAAATTAAAAAATAATTAATTCAACAGTCTTTTCATCTTGTCTAAAAACCTGACAGCCAAGTTAATTCTTCAGCTGTATTATTCAGCCCAGTTCTGATGACTGAAAGACTTAACTGTGTGCTTTATTGTAAGAAACTCTGTTTAAATGTTT